CATGTGGATTAACTTCTTATAAAGGATCAAATTAATGAGGTTACATTTGTTCTCTAAATTACCCCATCAGATATAAGTTAAATCTCACCAAGCTTTAACTTTGAAAATTTCATATATGATGCCAATTATTTAATTAATAGACTTCAAATTGTCTTCAAGTTCGACACACAATGCAAATATGTCACTGATATAATTTATAAAAAAAAAATAACGTTAATACTAAATGAAATATACTTTGAGAATCAGTATGGTAATGAATACCATAACAATACAAACAAATAAGAAGTTTGATACCACATTGACAAATCTGTATTTCTGCAGGCATCTCTAAGTCAAATTACAAGTAATTCATCAGATTTCCCATCAAACTTGATAAAGTGGAGAACGCAAAATACCTTAAGTTGAGACATAAAATATTTAAAAGCAATTTGTAAATAGAAATTACCTTTGCAAGTTATGTAGTCAGATTTGGTTTGAGGTTTGACTAATGCGATCCAAGAGTGTCAATGTTTTTCAAATTGACATGTTATTTCCAGGATGGAAAGCTCAAAGGCCGTCATAAACATATTCAATTAAAGAGTTAATGCATTGATATCGCAAGAAAACCATCCTATTGGCTATTTGTTATTACCTCATCTTTTATCTTAATTTCCCGTTGTTACTGCAAAGTTGCACATGGAATGCATGCAGTATGCTTCTATTATTTCATGATATGGTCCTGCCAATTAACCCAGCATCATCTTCTGCATCCATGATAATATATCCATGAATCGCATGACATAACCAAAATCTTTGATTCATGTAGTCTCTTACAGAAGAGCCAGATTCATTTGATAGTTAATGTAGCACTTTGACATTGTAGGAGCAACAGATACTAAATCAAATGTTTCTCCAAAGTTAATGGCACAATATAATTTGAATACATTATCCACTATTCCAATATATGAATCTGTTTACAAGCAGAAGCAATTCCACGTCCGTGAAGGATGTAAGACCTTCTATGAATTGAAAGAATAGTGTTGATAACGTAAGATATTAACAAATTCAAACATGAATTATTCATGAATTGGATTATGAAGCATGCATTTAGAACACAATAATCAGAAAGAAAAAAAAATAGAGCATATTTTTGGAAAGAACCATATCTTACTTTCTATAATGCTTTGAACATCAAGAATTTGGAGTAGGATCTTTGTCTTAACTCTTTCTCAAGATCGATGAGATAAATGATGATTTGGTACTTGATTTCATTTGTCATATGTCCTGAGACACATATTTAAGAGAAAGGGCTCGGGCCTACTTTTTCATGAAAAGTCACAATGGTTCTACTTCTACCCATCACGAATTCATATAAATAGCTTACACAATTCAAATGCCCTCGTGTGATTTTCAATATCTATTGATCACAAAAATGGATAGAACATGTTAATACCATTCAACCAATTTTGAAATAAATTAATGGAAGTCCATCACTTTAGCAAACAATTTTTGTAAGACCCAGTAGCTAGGGAATGTATATTTCTATTGGGACTCTCCAATCTTTGTATTCTGGCAAGGAAGACTGTCTGAACCAAACACACTGGCCAGGGGGCAAAATGTGAATTCAAAACCAAACCTCAGCAGACTTTTACTGGAATGGAAATAGAATCTTGGTAAAGTAAGGAGCTCTAAGTGATGGGAGATGTTGCACTTGAACATTATCATCTAGCAAGTTAAACTAGTCCACAATGGATGGTAGCATACAAATATTTTTCACAAATATGTCAGATTGTGACCAAAGGGACATGGTATTTTTGCCATCTAGCCAATACATTTTGACGAAGTGTAATGATATTCATCGATGTAGGACTTGTTACACACTAGGTGCTTTTTAAACAAAAGGAAGATGCATCACATTCATATTTTGCTTACAGTTAAGAGCAAGAGACACCCTTTCCACCGAAGAAACTGGATTCCCTTCCCTTCACAAAGAAGGGCAGAAGATCTTAATAGCATACAAATATATCCATTCTCACACTCTTTACTTTTCCAGGATCACCCATCTCTCTCTTTCTCCACCTCACTCTCTTCTTCTCTCCGCATTTTTAATTTCCCACACAAACACCTTACCCTTCACTCCAAAACCTCTCTCCAAAACGCACATTCAGCGTCTGCATCGAAAAACCGCGTTTAGGTCAATCCCAACACCCCCAGAAGCAAACACCTCCGAGACAAATCCTCCACCGCCAGGCACGTTTACCTCACCACCCTCACCGAGTCACTGAACACGTGCGCTCCCATCGCGCAACACGTGTCCACAATCCTGAACGATCTCTGAGACAATGTTTAACAACGAGACGCTGTGTTCATTCTCGATAAGATGGTGAACTCAAAAACCGCACCTTTCGTTCTCAGACACTTCCTGGAGAAGATTAAACCCAATAAAGACAAAGAGGTGGTTTTCTACAACGTGACCCTCAAGTCGTTCCGGAAATGCAGGGATTTCGAAGCTGCAGAGAACCTGTTCGATGAAATACTTCAGAGAGGGGTCAAGCCTGATAACATTGCATTTTCAACTTTGATAAGATCCAAGCTTCGGGTGTGAGCCCGACCCATCACGTGCTCGGCTATGGTCTATGCTTATACACGTACCAATAATGTTGACATGGCTTTGAGCTTGTATGAACGCGCCAAGGCTGAGAATTGGAGCCTTGATGTAGTGACATTCTCTGTGTTGATTAAGATGCATGGTGTGTTGGGGAACTATGATGAGAGCTTGAGAATCTTCCAAGAAATGAAGGTTCTTGGTGTGAAGCCTAATGTAGCGACTTATAACACTGTGTTGGGTGGCTTGTTTAAAGCTAAGAAGCCCTGGCAGGGCAAGGATATATATAAAGAGATGATAAGTAATGGGGTTTCGCCAGATTTTAGAACCTATGCAACTCTTTTGCGAATCTATGCAGGAGCACAATATAATGAGGATTGAGGATGCTATGGGTGTTTATAAGGAAATGAAGGGGAATGGAATTGATTTGAGTTTAGATCATTATAACAGGCTCTTAGATATGTGTGCTGATGCTGGTTGCATAGATGAAGCTGTTGAAACTTTTGAAGACATGAAAAGTTCTGGGACTTGCCAGCCAAACAACAGCTTGTCATTTTCATCGTTAATCACAGTATATTCCTGCAGTGGAAAGGTTTCGGAAGCAGAAGGAATGTTGAATGAGATGATGCAATGTGGATTTTAGCCTACTCTTTTTGTTCTGACATCACTTGTTCAGTGCTATGGGAAAGCTAAGTGAACTGATGATGTTGTGAGGATTTTCAAGCAACTTGTGGATTCGGGCATTGTTCCGGATGTTTGCTTCTGTTGTTGTCTTGTGAATGTTATGATTCAAGCGCCAAAAGAAGACCTTGGTAAGCTAATAGATTGCATTGAGAAGGCTAATGCAAGGCTTGGATCTGTTGTAAGATATTTGGTGGAAGAGCAGGGTGGTGATGGAGATTTTAGAAAGGAAACATCAGAACTTCTTAATTCAATTGATGTTAAAGTAAAGAAGCCCTTGTGCAATTGTCTAATTGATCTTTGTGTCAGCCTGAATGTGCCGAACAAAGCATGTGAACTTCTGGACCTAGGACACGCTTGAGATATATACAAATATACAATCTAGATCTCAAACTCAGTGGTCGTTTCAATTGAAGGAGCTCTCGATTGGAGCTGCTATGACTGCGTTACATGTTTGGATAAATGACTTGTCTGAGGCATTGGAATCAGGGGAGGACCTTCCACCACTACTCAGAATTAATACTGGGCAGAGAAAACACAAGTATTCTGACAGAGGTTTGGCTTATGTATTTGAATCACGTTTGAGGGAATTGAATGCTACATTCCATGAGGCTCCGGATAAGGCTGGCTGGTTTTTGGTTACAAAGGATGCAGCCAAATCATGGCTGGAGTCTGGGGATGCAACCGAATCAATTGCTAACTTGAACTCTTTGGTTTCAGGCGGTTCAACAGTGGCCCTTCCGTATCAATGGCTTTGTTTTAAGATCTATGTTTCATTTTATGTTATTTTTATTCATTTTCCTATTCCTTTTGTGACAATTTTGTATTAGTAGATTCAACATATGTATGTATGTATATGGGTTTGTGGGGGCGTTATAAAATTCCAGTTATCTTAATAGAGTAAATGAAGACATGATACTAGTATCTAGTGTAGTGGCTAGATTTCTTTGCAGCTGTTCCACGGTCTAGGGAGATGCATATTTTTTGTATCATGGCCTTAATTTTCCTTTTTCTTTGTTATATGTTTCTGTTTAATTATGTTGCCAATTGCCATCATCTGTCAAATAAAACCCAAATATTTCAACCCAGCCGTCATCTCTAAGCTTCCATTTTAATAATATATCCATATATGATTATGACACGCTATACTTGAAATTTTTGATACAGATGTCTTGCAGCCTCTTTTAGCTGAGCCTGATGCATTTGATTTTTACTGTTAGACTTCAGGGTGTTGGAGGAGCAATAGGTACAGTATCAAATGTTTCACCTCTTATGTTGAGGGCACAACATAAATACGGTTTTCAAGAAATTTGATCATGTACTGTCTAATATGTATACCGAGCCATTTCCATACGGAAACAGTCCTATAAAGGAGGAGGATAGACAGGACAGCTGATCTTTTTCTTTGTATACATTATAGATTTTTAATTATTAAAAATCTTATCAATTATTTTCTAACTTGTTACATCCAAGTAAATATACAAAATTGAAAGAACATTTCAAATCCTGTCGTATCTCACCTTTCATTACATACCTGATACCTGTAATATAATGAATTATTATCAGTTTAGAAATATAAACCTTTAATACATAAAAAATAAAATAAAATAATGATATGCTATTCTAGAGCTATCCTAGTTTGCAACAATGCTAAAATAGAATACACCAAATCTATCAATATAAAAAAGAATGATACACTTCATTTTCTGGTTCGGAACCTTTGTATATTCATCATATGCAGCAAGTGTTAATCAACGAATCTGTTATAGGAAAAATGTAACATCTGACCATGTTGCTTTAACTTCATATCTTCATGAAACCTTCTAGCTTTGACTTGAGTTGGCGATTTTGGTCAGCTTTATTTTTATTTAGCGGCACCAGTGTAATATACATACATCAGACGTATCATCCATAGACATATGCATTCATTGTAACTTTCCTAGAATGGTGCTGAATTTTTGTGAATGATTAGCGGCATTCCAGTGAAATCAGTTTGGTAATAAATTTCTACCCATACCTTAAAAAGAAGCACCACCCGTAACAAGGATTTCAATTCTTCACAGTAAATCATTCCTTTCCAATTTGTTTTCTAATCCAACAAATTGTGAAGAATATATCATTTTAGTTACTAAACATACAGAGAGAGGGAAAATGTCTCAGCCTTACCCTCTTTGCAATAATTCCCCATCTTTTTCTTTCCATTGTCGCAAACCCTTCACCATCACCACTTCTCATTCCAAAACCCTTCTCCACGCCTCACGCTTCTCCTTCCAAGTGTTCAACACTATACCCCATGCAAAACTCGACGACCCAGATGCAAATTCTTCGTCTTCCACCAAAACCTCCATCTGGGTCAACCCCAGAAGCCCCAGAGGCAAACGCCTTTGGAAAATTTCCCCTAATGCCAGGTCATCATTTCTCAACAAACTCACCAAGTCTCTGGATTCCTGCAACCCCACCGAGAAACACGTCTCTGAAATCCTCAACGTTTTAGGGGACAAAGTTTTCGAACGCGACGCCGTGTTTATTCTCAATGCCATGGTGAATCCCGATACTGCACTCCTCGCTCTAAAGTACTTCCAGCAGAAGATTAGCCACGTTAAGCACGTTGTTCTTTACAACGTTACCCTGAAGCTGTTTAGGGCGGTTAGGGATTTCGAAGGAGCAGAGAAGCTGTTTGATGAAATGCTTCAAAAAGGGGTCGACCCTGATATCATTACATTTTCAACCATGATTAGCGCTGCTTCGCTGTGTTCGTTGCCACATAAGGCTACGGAGTGGTTTGAGAAAATGCCCTCCTTTGGGGTTGAACTTGAATCCAATGACATTGCAGCCTCCTTTATGATTCATGCTTATGCGCTTAGTGGTAATGCTGATATGGCTTTTAAACTGTATGATCGTGCAAAAGCAGAGAAATGGCGGGTTGAAACTGAGGCTTTCTCAGCATTAATTAAGATGTGTGGGATATTGGAGAATTTTGATGGATGTTTAAGTGTTTACAATGATATGAAGGTTCTTGATGTCAAGCCTAACTTGGCAACTTACAACGTTCTGTTGTATGCCATGGGGAGAGGCAAGAGGGCCCGAGATGCCAAGGCTATATTTGAGGAGATGATAAATAATGGATTTTCACCAACTTGGCCTACCTATGGAGCTCTTTTACAAGCCTATTGTAAAGCACGGTTCCGTGACAAAGCGCTGGGAGTTTACAAGGAAATGAAGGAAAAGGGAATGAATTTGGATGTAGTTCTTTATAACTTGCTTTTTGACATGTATGTTGATGTTGGCTGCATGGATGAAGCTCTAGAAATCTTTGAAGACATGAAGAGTTCGGGAACTTGCCAGCCAGATAATTTTACATACTCCTGCTTGATCAACATGTACAGTTCTCATCTCAAACACACCGAGTCTTTGGAGTCGTCCAATCCATGGGAGCAACACGTCTCCATGATCTTGAAGGATGTAGGGGACAAGGTTTCGGAAGGAGATGTGATATTTATTCTTAAAAGGATGGTGGATCCCAACACTGCATCCTTTGTTCTTAGATACTTACTGGACAAGATTAAATTCAGTAGAGATAAGGAGGTGATTTTTTACAATGTGACCCTGAATTTGTTTAGGAAGTCTAGGGATTTTGAAGGAGCAAAGAAGTTGTTTGATGAAATGCTTCAAAGAGGGATCAAACCTAATAACATTACATTTTCAACTATTGTTAATTGTGCTAGTGCGTCTGGTTTGCCCAATATGGCTGTGGAGTGGATTGAAAAGATGTCTGGCTTTGGGTGTGAACCTGATGGCACCACATGCTCATCGATGGTATATGCTTATGCACGCACTAATAATGCTGATAAGGCTCAGAATCTATATGATCGTGCAAAGGCAGAGAAATGGTGCCTTGATGTGGTACCATTCTCAACATTGATTAAGATGTATGCCATGTCAAGAAACTATGATAAATGCTTGAAACTTTACCGAGAAATGAAGGTTCTGGGTGTGAAGCCTAATGTGGCAACGTATAACACTCTGTTGGGTGCCATGTTGAGAGCTAAGAATCACAAACAGGCCAAGACTATATATAAAGAGATGAAAAGTAATGGAGTGCCACCAGATTTTATAACATATGCATCTCTTTTGGAAGTCTATATTAGAGCACAACGCAGTGAAGATGCTTTTGGTGTTTATAAGGAAATGAAGGGGAGTGGAGTGGATATGACTGCAGATCTTTATAACAAGCTTTTAGCTATGTGTGTTGATGTTGGCCACATAGATAAAGCTGTTGAAATTTTTGATGAAATGAAAAGTTCTAGGACTTGCCAGCCTGACAGTTGGACATTTTCATCCTTGGTTACCATATATTCCCGCAGTGGGAAAGTTTCGGAGGCGGAAGGGATATTGAACGAAATGATCCATTCTGGATGTCAACCTAATATTTTTGTTCTGACATCGCTTGTCCAATGCTATGGAAAAGCTAAGCGAACTGATGATGTTGTGAAGATATTTAATCGACTTGTGGAATTGGGCATTGTTCCAAATGATCAATTCTGTTGTTGTCTTCTAAATGTTCTGACTCAAACACCAAAAGAAGAGCTTGGTAAGGTAACAGGTTGCATTGAGAAGGCTAATACTAAGCTTGGGACGGTAGTAAGATATTTGTTGAAAGAGCAGGAGGGTGATGGAGACTTTAGAAAGGACACAATAGAACTTTTAAATTCAATTGATGCTGAAGTAAAGAAGCCTTTATGCAATTGTTTAATTGATCTTTGTGTCAGCCTGAATGTGCTTGAAAGGGCATGTGACCTTCTGGACCTAGGACACACGCTTGAGATATATACAAATATACAATCTAGATCTCAAACTCAGTGGTCTTTGCATTTGAAGGAGCTCTCAATTGGAGCTGCTATGACTGCGTTACATGTTTGGATAAATGATGACTTGTCTAAGGCATTGGAATCAGGAGAAGACCTTCCACCACTACTTGGAATTAATACTGGGCAGGGAAAACGAAATCTCAAGTATTCAAACAAACGCTTGGCTAGTGTAATTGAATCACATTTGAAGGAACTCAATGCTCCATTTCATGAGGCTGATCCTGGCTGGTTTTTGGTTACAAAGACAGCAGCCAAATCATGGCTAGAGTCAAGGGGTTCAACCAAATCAGTTGCTGGTTTGAACTCTCTGGTTTTAGGTGTTCCAACAATGGCCCTTTAGTATCGATGGTGTTAATTTGGGAACGATGTGCCATGTTATTTTTTTTTTTTTGGCATTTTTCTATTCCTTTTGTCTTTGTGGAAATTTTGTATTAGCATGTTCTTGTGAGGAAGAAAAGTGGGAACACGTGATTTTAGTATTATTTTCAATATTAATTTAATTTTAATATTGTATTGAAACCATTGAAAAGCTCTGTTAACCGGAACAAGATCTTCTCCATTTTTTTTCATTTCTTTCATTACTAAGCTTTTGGAAAAATAAATGAAACGAAGATGATACACTTTTTATCTTCTTATATATAGTAACTTATAAAATAAAAGTTTATAATTTAATCTATTTTTATTATGTTTAATATGTATTTTACTATTTATTTAATACATTTTTAAAAAAAAAAGTAAAACTAAAATTGAAAACGGAATCCAATTTACTCGACACTCGACACTCGACAGTCTCAGAGTGTGGGAAAGAAAATGGCTCAGTCTTGCCTACTCTGCTCTTCTTCTTCTTCCTTTTCTGCTCCTCCTTCTCTTCCTCCTCCTCCTCCTCCTCCTCCTCCTTCCTTTCATTACCACAAACCCATCACCATAACTTTCACCACTTCTTCATTCTCCTCTCATTCTTCCCGTCATCTCAAACTTCCTATCTTTCCTTCCTCCCATCCTCTACCCAAAACCCTTCTCCAAGCCACCAACACTCCTCCACAAGAAGCAAAACTCCACGACCCACATGCAAAGTCTCAATCTTTCTCCAAAACTTCCATCTGGGTCAACCCCAAAAGCTCCAGAGCCAAGCAAAAACACCTTTACGACAATTCCCACCATGCCAGGTCATTGTCTCTCACCAAACTCGCCAAGTCTCTCGACTCCTGCAATCCCACCGGGGAACACGTTTCGCAAATCCTCAAAGTCTTGGGTGACAACATTTTAGAATCTTACGCCATCATTATTCTCGATTCCATGGTCAACCCCTACACTGCACTCCTCGCTGTGAAATACTTCCAGCAAAAGATCAAACCCGCTAGGCACGTTGTTCTCTACAACGTTACCCTCAAGCTGTTTAGGGGGACCAGGGATTTCCATGGAGCAGAGAAGCTGTTTGATGAAATGCTTCAAAGAGGGGTCACCCCTAATCTCATCACATTTTCAACCATGATTAGCTGTGCTTCTGTCTGTTCTTTGCCGCATAAGGCTGTGAAGTTGTTTGAGATGATGCCCTCTTTCGGGTGTGAACCGGATGGCAATGTGTCCTCATCTATGATATATGCTTATGCAAGAACTGGTAATGCTGACATGGCTTTGAAACTCTATGGTCGTGCAAAGGCAGAGAAATGGCACGTTGATACCGCGGTGTTCTCGGGGTTGATTAAGATGTATGGGATGTCAGGGAATTATGATAGATGCTTGGATGTTTTCAATGATATGAAGGTTCTTGGCGCCAAGCCGAACTTGGTGACATATAATGCTCTGTTGTATGCCATGGCGAGAGCTAAGAGGGCTAGGGATGCTAAGGCTCTATATGAGGAGATGATAAGTAATGGATTGTCACCAAACTGGCCTACCTATGCAGCTCTCTTACAAGCCTATTGTAGAGCACGGTTTAGCAGAGACGCGATGAGAGTTTATAAGGAAATGAAGGAGAAAGGAATGGATATAGATGTAATTCTTTATAACATGATTTTTGACATGTGTGCAAATGTTGGCTGTGTGGACGAAGCTGTTAAAATTGTAAAAGACATGAAAAGTTCCGGTAATTGCCGGCCTGACAGATTTACGTATGCATCGTTGATCAACATGTACTCCAGCATTGGGAAAATTTCAGAGACAGAAGCCCTGTTCAATGAAATGGTGGCATCTGGATTTGAGCCTAATATTGTAATTTTGACATCGGTTGCCCATTGCTATGGAAAAGCCAAGAGAGCTGATGATGTTGTAAAGGTATTTAATCAGCTCATGGATTTAGGCATCAGTCCTGATGATCGCTTCTGTGATTGTCTTTTGTATGCAATGACCCAAATACCAAAAGAAGAATATGGTAAGCTAGCAGGTTGCATTGAGAAGGCTAATCCAAAGCTTAGGTCGGTGTTAAGATATTTGATGGTAAAGCATGAGGGTGATGGAGATTTTAGAAAGGAGGCATCAGAGCTTTTTAATTCAACTGTTGTTGATGTAAAGAAGTCCATGTGCAATTGTTTGATTGATCTTTGTGTCAACCTGGATGTGCCAGACAGAGCTCGGGTCCTTTTGGACCTGGGGCTGACTCTTGAGATATACACAGATATACAGTCCAGGTCTCAAAGTAAGTGGTCTCTGCATCTAAAGAGGCTCTCAGTTGGAGCTGCTCTGACTGCCCTAAGTGTTTGGATAAATGACTTGTCTAAGGCTTTGGAATTAGGGGAAGAGCTTCCACCACTACTTGGAATTAACACTGGGAGTGGGAAACACAAATCTTCAGATAAAGTTCTGCCTACTGTGTTTGAATCATATCTGAAGGAACTTAAAGCTCCATTCTATAAGGCTACTGATAGTAAGACTGGCTGGTTTTTGACCACCAGTGAAGCGGTCACATCATGGCTGCAGTCTAGGGGTTCAACTGAAATAGGTGCTGCTTTGAACTCCAAGGATATAGGTGTTCCAACAGTGGCTCTTCTCCATTGATATTGTTATTTTACTTTTAGGCAATTTTGTACCATCTAGACCCTATGCATTTTTTTTTACCGTGGGAGAAAATTTTGGTATAAGCAGTTTCAGATAATTTGTTTTATTTTGGATGTCTTACATTGTGAATGAGAGCATGGTTCTCATATCTAGAAAGCATAAATGTTAGTAATAAGTTCTTGTAGTTCTAGTAGTGTTGTAGTGTTGTTGATCGAATAAGTGGATATTGGATTTGACAGTGCTCCTCTTTTTATGGAAAGGCTGATGTGGCACATGTCTCTATTTTGTTATTGTCAAACAAAATCTGATACCTTCTGTTCTAAACTAAGAGGAGGCTTAGACTGCCTGGATCTATATGCTCAAATTGAGGATTGCAAATTTAGGGGACGGTAGAGATCTACAAAGTGAGGAGAACAACCTAGCAATTTTTTCTTTATATTTATTATGGTACAAAAAATAGAGACAGGGATTAGTTCTACGGTATGAGTTAAGTTTCATATTCCTTTTCGTCTGTTTCAATTTCCTAGAGCGCGGTAAACAACTGAGAAGAAGCAGGTGAATTATATGCCTTCGGTTTTCTTTTCATGTTTACCAAAAAACTTGGGAAAGAAAAATAAAAGAAAATAAACATTCAGAGGCAAGGCTAAGGTTGACCTTCATATTGAATATAATGGTTGACTTTATTTTGTCAAATTTTTTTAACTAAGTGGGATTGACTTTGACTCATTTATGCTTTGAATTTGTGCTATTATTATTATTATAATTAATTGCTTGGTTCACAAAAAATTGGTAAAATTAAAGTAAAAAGGGCTTTTGACTTTTGTTAAGAGAATACTTTAGTAGTAATGTGCTTGCAACTTCAAGTCCTAGCTGGACCTGGAGTGCTTGTCCAGTAACACCCCACTTGACATATTCGGCCGAATGGAACTCTTTTTTTATATTTTTATTTTTAAAAGAAGTCAAATTTTGAACTAAAGGTATGTGTTCAGAGATGGTTTGCACGTTAATATTTTATCCAACTTAAATTGATCCAACTCTATATAATGGTGAGTCCATGTTCATTTGATCATAAGCAAAATGGGAAACTGCATGCCTTCCCTTTCTCAACCAAAGAATCAAACCAGATGTTCTCCAATTGAAGAAAGAGAAATAGAGGTTGATGACTCAGTGCCAGTTGCAAAAATGAACTCTGCTTCTAGTAAGCGTTACATAGTGGTGCGTAGGAAGCTGCAGCATGGGAAGGTTTACCAGCTTGCACCATTCATGTTGCAATCTGATATTCCTTTAGTACCTTGTAGGACAACTAACAACAGAAAGTTGAAGCCAAAAAGAGTGAAGATTGTGGTGACTGCAGAAGAATTGGAATTGCTGTTAAGTGGATCAAAGAGGTTCCAAATCCAAAGTAGAGTTGCCTGTGTCAAGCAAGGTTCTGTGTTGAGAGGGTGCCAAAAATGGATTCCTTCTTTACCAACTATTCAAGAGGTGCAGAACTATTAGTATTAAATGGTGGGATGGTTGCATTCCTATCATCAGTTGTGCAATGGATTTTAGTTTGTAGTTTTTGCAAATTTTCCTGAAAGATGCGAAGTTTTATTTGCTCAGGAAATTAAGGATGTTTACCTGCTCAATTTTTTAAATATAGCAGCAGGGAGAAGAAAACAAAAAAGAAAACTTTCTCAATCTACATTTTTTTTTTCTTCTGGTTTAAGTGTTTCATTCGTACTATAGGAGTAGTGAATGCTGACTGCTGTTCATGTTCTTGGATGAACAATGAGAATGTGATATTTGTCAATTTCTCTTGCTTAAGTGATACTACTGGTAGAATTTATCCTTGCTCAATGATGTTTAGATATATCTTTTATGGAATTTTCTTCTGCTCAATGGTGTTTAAATATATCCTTAAAATTAAAAGACTTTAAATAGTCCATGATTGCTGCTGGTGAATCTAGAATGATTCTCAAAATCACTCGGGATTCAGGAATAATTTTCTTTATAACATCTTTGGTAAATAAGTTTTCTGATACACATAATGCAGACAACCACAACAACAACAACAAAAGCCTTGTCCTACTAGGTGAGAGATACACACAATGCAGAAACGTAATTCAATTACTTTCTAAGTGTTCATTATGTTTCATCACTCTGCAGATTCATTTGCAAACGTGGCTAGTATGTATGTAATACTTACAATCACAGAACGCAGAGGATGTCATTTAAATATAGTGTATGTACAGAGTCAGATCCCAGACTCCCTTATCCCGAAGGAACTTTATTTCAACATACTACCTCACTAAATTTTTGTTTTGTATTTACAAAGAAAAATCACGCAATGCCATTGATTAATAAATTGCCTTCAGATTTCTCTAAATAAAGAGTCTTCAATTTTCTTTCGTTAACCTGCAGTAATTTTTAAAAAATATTAAGGTCTAGTATTAACAAACTTGACAATTAACGGACACATTTCGGCCATTCAAACAGAAAATTTACAGGACCTTCTAGAGGAGTTTGAGCGTCTGATTTTCCTGTTATCATCTGATTTTGTTGATGCAGCTTCCTTCTCTCTAGCAGCTGCTTCTCTTTTCATTTTCTTCCACTCTATTTCCATAGCCTTTGTCAGTGCATCAACTTTCTTTGT